GATAAGTGGGATAAAACATAAGTATGAGCATCAAATCTTTTACACAGGATATCTGTGGAAGGGATTCTCGTAGAGTATTTTTCAGAGAGAAGCAGAGACAGGAACTTCTCTCTCAAACTCTGCATAAAGTTATTCTATCCGCACACCTTCACATCTTTTTTTCACACCATCCATTCACAATTTATTCTATTTGCAAGCTCATGTTGCATTGCTAATAGCATTACCCAGCGCGGCATTAGCTGGATGATGTATGGCAGAGCTGAGGAAACCTGACTACATCCGAGGAAAGGTCAAGAAATGCATGTAATACAGACGCCCATGTTTCGACTTCTCTAAACAATCCCTCCTTTCAGACGGATTCAAATCAATACTGTTGCTGTAAATAGCTCTCTGCATTCTGCATGTTTCTAAGTATGGCATGCACATGTGCTGACTTTCTGCCTTCTGAGAGACGTTTTCCACCGTTCAGGAAACCAAACCACCTTGTGCAGGTCGTCCCATCACCGCTGCACTGACAGACTTCTCGATATGCACACTTAATTACAAACAGAAACTTTATGTCTACGTAAGCTGCCCATTAGGATCCCATTGGACTATTTAATGCAGAACCGTTTGTAAATTATGCAGCGAATCAATGTGGAGGAGCTTTACAGTCTGTCACGTCAGTAAAAACAGAGAATAAGTGCAGCCAGTATCTGTAATGGTTCACTAATATTCTTATGCGCCATGCTGGTCTTCAAAGTAATCAATTATATAACGTTAATCTTTAAGTGGATTGTTTTTTTCATGAGATGGTGCACTAAGTCAATATTCAAAGATGATGGGACTTTAATTTCTGCTGCTGTTACCTCACACTACTAGTAGAGGAATGTGTAAAGTATTTGGTTTATTCCTACTTATTTCGGGTCAACATCAGTAAAAACTGTTTATTCAGGGAAAAAAAAAAGAAAACAGGATATCGTTTCTCAAAATGCATTTCTGTTCAATTAGTCAGTGAAAGATTTCAGTTGTTACCAGTGAATAAGAGTGGAAACGCATCTAAAACAAATAAACCCAAACTACCTCAGCATTGATTATTAGCAATTACCCAAGTAATGATGCTAAAATAAACTGATGAAGATCAACTATTGATCCACACTGTTAAAACAATTAATATGTTCCACCTTTAAAATCAAACAAGCTCTAATTTAACTATAATTAGGACTTGGCACATATTTTTAAACAAAGAAAAGTGAATATAAACAGCTAACTGATAGCTATACAAATAATAAAACTATATAATTTGCTTTCATAGCATTCCATATCAAGTAAGAACTGCAACTAAATATGGTAGCATTGAATTTATAAAGTTTTAAATCAAGGAAAGCATTTTCTAATTCTATCCAAATATGATGTTTATTTGAACTATACAGTCGTGTGAAATCAAACTTTGAAATTAACAAATCATTTTCATCAAAATGTCTAAATTCAAGCTTCTCCTCTGATCTTGCATGAATTAAAAAGTGGAAAGATTTCACAAAAGTAACAAAAATGGATTTATTGATTGATGGTGTAAATTTGTGTATCATCAGCATAGAGTTGCTACAAATCATTTTGCTCAAGTTTCTATGGTAAATTCCAATTTTGGACAAATTAGGGCATTACTTTTTTCTTAAATTCTGTCTGTTTTTATTCATTAATGCATTTTTACTTTACCCTTTTCAAATGTTTTCTGTATTTTTAAGCGAGGATTAAAATTTACTGTTAGTCTTTGGGCTGAAACAAGAAGCAGCTTTAGGCAATTCAGAAGCTCTCAGTCAAGGACAGAGTTTCTCCAGTACAGAGGACATTACTGCCTCTGGTTGGAGGTCATAGGTCATATTGTCAGGAGGCTGTAGTGTTACATGCTTCATGGCTTCTGCAACACTGTGCTGATCACTGAGGAGCAGTTACAACCCACAGTCTGAAATGTCAATAAAAATCTAAAATTGTACCCAGAATTCATCAGAGCTGATAAGGAGAAAGTCAAACTGGAGAAATGTGATCCATACAGCTAATCCTCTGGAGAACACTGTGACTTATTCTGGATAAGCTTCAGGCTTTCCTGTGATTTCTTTGAGCTATTTCTGCAAAGGACAATAAACATTCGCAAGACGAGATGTTCCAGATTTTATTAAATGTGGTGGTGATTAAAAACCAGGACACACACTGCACCGATAGACCTCAGGCTTCATTCAGCTGGAAATTAACTATAACAGCAAAATTATATTAAAGCTGCAGTATGTAACTTTTACACCTTTTTTCCCCATTTGCACTGCTCCCGCTCAAAAACCACCAATCAGAGGCAAGAGGAGGGTCTTAGCGCTGCCAATTACTGTTGTGCTGCTAAATGTTTTACTGGTGCAGAAACAACTTGCAGTTACAGGAAAACTGTCTATCCACTATCATTGGCTTCCATGCTAATTAGCCTTAGCTAGTTTGTGGCATGTTGTGGTGAACCAGCTGTAGTGTACCAGAGAGCAAAGGGGAGTGGATGAGCATGAGAGTGATTGACAGCGCTAAGACCCTCCTCCTGGCTCCGATTGGTTGTTTCACAATAGAATAGACTAGAATATACTTGAAGTGGAAATAGGTATTGTGGAAATTGATTTGTTTGTTGACAAGCTACTCCATCTAAGGTGTGAAATAATAATACAAACATAACCATAAGAGATAAAGTTTACATATACCTAAGAGAGATGTAATTCAATATAAGTGAATATGAATAAATAACAGAGCATGCACATGCAAATATGTTAACCTCAAAATAATCTATAAATGAGTGCAGAGAAAATTAGGTATATTAGGTATACAAGTCTGGAAAAAATTATCAGTTTCTCTGATTTTACTTTTTATAGGTATTTGTTTGAGTAAAATTAACATCGTTCTTTTATTCTATGAACTACTGACAACATGTTTCTGAAATTCCAAGCAAAAATTTAGTTTATTTGCAGAAGGGAGAAATGGTCAAAATAACAAAAAAGATGCAGTGCTGTGCTGGGAGAAGGCAGAGGAGCTTGTTTTTTTTTATTTTTTATTGTCACGACATGATAACTTTAACAAATATGTAAAACCATTTTTTATAAAAGTTACACACTGCAGCTTTAATGACATTATTGCATGATATAAACCGGTTATTAAAAGTTGATAATAGACACTTTTAATTGTTCTAATAATGCTCAACAAAGCCAGAAGCATTGCGGCCCGAAGCCCTGGGGGTCGCCACAGGGTTAATCCCGTGAAGGGCCAGAACAAAGCTAACGAGGAGCAGCCCAGCAGAGGTTCTGCTGGGAGTTCAAGGCTCCGATCCGAACCAGGCTCCACATTCTCCTTCCCCAACTGTCGGCTGAGCTCAAAGACGTTTTGGTCTTTCCCTCAGTCTGCTTCTCTATTCCCCGAGGGGACAGATAATCAAGTGAACTTTTGGACCATCTCACTGGATCAGCATGGTGTTTCAGAAAAAGGTAAGCACTATGACGTTAAACTGATTGGGACTGCTGGTGTGGGCGGCTTGCAACACGAAGATGGGAAATTACAGAGTCATTAAAGAGGAAACAGGACAATCTAGGAAGCTTGACGTCTCTGCAGGCTTTGTGATGACAGAAACCAGATACCTTCAGTTGCAGCGATCTGCCGATATCTCTGGCCTTAGCACAGGCTTCCACCAGAAAGATGACCTCCGCACTCAGTTTTCCAAGGATCCATATGGCCTTAAGGCCATGCAACGCACAGATATGCGCATGCGATGAGAAGAAACCCGGTGTGCGCGGCCCATGCCAGGTCTGGTCTGGGCCAGTGGATGTCATAAATTTGCCACCCCCTCCTTCTTGTCGGTACTGAGAAACATTCCTTCTTCCTGCTCACAGCAACTTCTCCAGATCCCATCTGTCTATCAGAAGCAGCTGCTGCATCAGACATCTGGTTGCACACTAATCACCACCAAGTCTACAAGCTCTGTGTCATCAAAACAAGATCTCTGTCTCTTACAAACTGTTGAATGAAAATAAATATACATATTTTATTCTGGAGGTTCAATTGCTTCACGAGAAACATCCAATGAACATTTAACTTTTACAAAAATATGTTTTCTACATGTTTTTTAAAACTGTCACCATGTTGTGACAGTATGTTATGAGACAGATAATCTGTTGCTGTTTGAAGAAATGCACCAAAACCAACCAATTAGGTCTTAGCGCTGTCAATCATCCTTGTGTACGTGACAGTTCAATGTATTAACTTACAGTTATCTGCTGTCATCGTTTGCTGTTATAACTAGCCTTAGTATGTGTGGCAGGCAGCGCGTACACAACCATGATTGGCTTCGCTGAAACCCGCCTCCTGGCTCTGATTGGTTGCTTCTAGTTAACACTGCGAGAAGGCAGAGGAACTAAATTTTTTTTCACAGATTATCTGTTTCTCAGCATACTGTCATGACATTGTGACAGTTTCAACAAAAATGTGAAAAAAACTAAATGTTTTAATAAAAGTTACTTACTGCAGCTTTAAAGTGTTTTGGGCTTTCCAGTCTGGGGAACAAAATGTAGAAATTTTACAACAAATGCACGTGTGACATATGTTCGTTGACATTTAGATAAAAATAAGAAGGGTCTTACAATAAATCAATTTTTTATCTCAGTAATACAACTGAAAAATGTAGGAAGATCCAGAGTTCAATTAAAGTTAGTTTGTTTAGTGGAGGGGAAAATCCTCCATTAAGGAATAATTGTTTTAACTACATCAATGGAAGCACAATTATTGGTGTTTTCGCTGTTGGTGTCTAACAGAGTTGGATCTTTGACTTTTCTGTTTGCAGACCAATGTCTTTTTGGTTTGGTGAATTATTTCTGCTTGGCCATATGTTTCTGCTGAAAGACTGTTTTTTAAATATTCTAGGACTTCAACTGGTTTGTGGAACTTTTCACCTTAACGAGGTTCCCAAGGCCTTGAAATTAACCCTTTCTCCTCTGTTTTCCTCCATACAGACCCAAACATGCCTACAGACTTTCCAATCACAAACAGTGAAGCATCGAATTTTCCCGATTACCCCGACCCAGATGGCTCGATCAGCCCGTTCCCGAGCGGAGAGACGACCACGTTAAGCGGCGGCGCTCCTCACTTTCTCGGCCCGGGCTTCAACGAAAACCTAATCCCGATTTACTGCTCAATCCTGGCTGCTGGTGTGGTCGGCCTGGTGGCGTACTTCGTGTTTAAGAGGTCAGTCAAAAGCTTTTCTGAATGAAAAACCAATTTGGATTTGGTACCTCAGGTGGTAAGCCGTTCAGTCATTTATAAACTGTATTTTAAATCTGTTCTCTGAGGCAGCCAGTGGAAGGACTTTAGATCTGGTTGATGTCTTCCTGGTTGTAGTCAGAACAGCAGCAGCAGCATTCTGGACTGATTTGCTGAGTGGCATGGATGAGTTTCTCTAGGTCACGTGTCAAACTCGAGGCCCGTGGGAACAAATCCAGCCCACCGTAGCTTTTTATGTGGCCCTCTTGACTCTAGACTAAACACTAAGTGTGCTCAGGTGATAGAAGACCGACTTTGTAACTGTCTTTATGTGGCTCTGAAGGTTGAGGTCAGAGTCCATCACGACTCAGGCCTCATCGCTGGTGTTTAGCTGTAATAACTGAACCTTTGTGTTGATTCTAGATCGTTCCTCTTTAGGTCCAAAGCGACAAAAAAAACATTTACACTGAAGTGAAGAAATATTCAATCCAACTGATGAATTTCTTTAAACGAGCCATGATTATGGTTTCCTTCAAGGAAGAAAAACAAATCTTTATGCATTACAGCGATCACAGACTGCTGAGGACATGAGGCTGCAGCTCCAATCCATCCTACTGACAGATACAAATTCAGGCAGACACACATTAGAAGCAAGTAAACAAGCTGATTAGATGCATTGATTGTCTAAAACATGCCAACCAAGGGAAATTTGAGTGCCACACACATCTGCTCCACATTTACCCTTCGTCATGCATAAACAAATGATAAAACGCTGAGAGTTTGACAACAGGCGGACATTTATAAGAGGTGTTAACTGCTCTGTTTCATTCAAAACGTCCTGAATTTTTAAATCGTTATCTCACGCAACTTCAGAGAACTGATTACATTTATTCACACATTATATGACTGTAGATTTAGCTAACGCTTAGATAAACATGTAAAGATTACTTTGTTGTCAGTTGAGTTGGTTGATGAATTGGATGATTATTACACGTTTTACAGGACCTTTCCACTGAATATTATGCAGATAAAAAAAACACATCAGAGAGCCTTGAACACATCCCAAAGGAGCTGAAGAGTGATGTCTGAGTCAATCTTCTAAAACTATTATCTCAGTGACAAATATATAAGCAAAACTGCCCTGTGTGCTGCAGCATAAGCAATGGAAAACGTGTTTATTTGATTGTGAAGTGGGTGCAATCAAATGGAGATGTTGCTCCTTGAAAACATGTTTGTGTTTGTGGAAATTAGGCTCTGTGTTGTTATATCCAATTATTTCCTGGCAAACAAATTATGGCTGTCATTTTTCCCCCATTTTGCCAAAATTGGTATTCAAAGCAGCGTTTTTAATCTCTTAATTAAAAGAAAATGCAGAATTAGGCCTTAATAGCTGTAATATTGTGTCAGCATTGAGGCCAAAGGAGTACCACACTGCAAAAACACAAAATCCTACCAAGTAATTTTGGTCTAGATTCTAATGCAAATATCTTGGTAGACTTTAACTGTTCAGGAAGATGTAAAGGCTTATTTTAATAAAATAATTCTTCAATATTGATGAAATTGTACTTGTTTTATTGGCAGATAAATTAAATTACAATATGGGAAAATGTTTTGTTACAAGTGAAATAATCTGCCAATGGAACTAGAACGTTTTCATCAATATTAAGGAATTGTTTACTTAAAACAAGCCTCTATATCAGGGGAGCCCAAACTGTTTGAGAGCAAGATCTACTTTTTCTCTCACCAGCCGCCTGAGATCTACCTCATGACACAAAGACATAAAAATTACAAATTAAACTCTATTGACTTATTTTATATGCGAATATACATCAGTTGTAGCAGAAATAATAAAGTGACAGAAAACCTGATGCAGTTTCTTCCTCAGTGAGATTCTGACACTGGGAGCAGGTTACTGGTTTCTCAGTCAGAAGCTGGTTGCAAACCAGCAGGTGTCAGTCAGTCATGGTAGATCTGAACTTTGGTTTGATGACCTCAGTATGAGAAACTAACCAAAGAGCCCAGTAAAGGCAAATCTTCAGAAGTCGGGATATAGTTAATTTAATTTCACATAATTATCGCTGTAGAATTAGTTAAAACTTAATGAAATATATTTGTCCTATTTGATGTTTGTTGTGACGTATACTCACAAAGAACGAGGTAATTAGTCCAAGTTTTGTCGTTTATTGAACGTTCAGAAACTACAGCAGGTGTGATGAGCCACAGCAAAGGTAAACAAAGGTAAAACAACCCGAACAGACGATCAAATCAAAACCACTCCTACCTTTTTACTTTCTGTCTCTTTGTAGTTTAAGCACACCTGTTGCCGTGGCAACCGCCTGCGCCCGCAAGCCAAGCAGAGATTATGTTAAAAACACAACATTCAGTCCGTTGCGATATCACGTTTCCAGGCTTGATATTTATTCCTCGATTATTAATAAGATTCTCATGAACACAGCGGTGGTTGAGTAGCTAATTTAAACTCCTGCTCTGCTCTCAGTCGGTCTTTGAGTCGCCTTTTTTGAAACTAGACCAAAAATACTTAGTAAGATTTTGTTTTTACAGTGTAGACCAACACTGAAGTTTGCAATCTTCCTATAGATGCCATGATACTGGAGGTACAGCTACTTTAAAATCATGCAAATTGCTCAGTTATACAAAAATATAGCAAGAATAAAGTTTGTAAAGGCTGGTTAAAAAAAACCAAACATTACTAATCTATGCAAATGAAAAAGACCTCAAGCAAATTTCATCAAGAATTAAGTGTGGTTTTCTGTTTTACTCATTCACAGGTGGAATAGCTGCAAGCAAAACAAGCAACCAGCTAATAACCGTGCGGCTACAAACAACCAGATGGTAACACCGGAGGGAGAGAAGCTGCACAGCGACAGCGGCATCTCAGTCGACACTCAGAGTCTGCAGGACCAGCAGCAGCAGCACGCACAGGCTGAAGCCCAGCCTCAGCCGTCACGCTCACACACACAGGAGCAAATAGGTGAGCTTTCAGGTGTGCACCAAAACACTGCCATTAAGGAGAACGCATTTTCAGAAACTTAGATGAAAGCCAACTAATACACCCTGAAAATGTGCCTTCTTATGTTTTGGGTGTACTATTACTAAGGTTGGAAAAGTGGTTTCTCTTTGGCTTGATGCAGCAAGCTGAAGGTTTTATGGCTGTATTACATAGAAATAATGATCTGGAGGCTCCACTTCACTTTGTTATATCTGACATTTCATCATAGAACCCTGGGCTCACTACAGCACAGAAATAAAAAACCCCCACTAACTCTGACTTTAATCTTCTGAGAGCAAAAGTCAGGATTCTGAGATTAAGGCCAAGATTTTAATCTTAATGTCAGAATTCATGGGGGGGAAAAAAGCCATAATTATCAAATTAAAAATCTGAATTCTGAGATTAAAGTCAAACTTCTGAGAAAAAAATCCAGAATTGTGAGATTAAGGCCAAATTTTTGAGTTTATTCTCAGAATTTTGAGGAAAAAAGTCATAATTCTCAGATTTAAAGTCGAAATTCTGAGGATAAAATCTAAATTCTGAAAAGAATTCTGAGATTAAAGTCAAAATTGTTATTTTAATCTCAGAATTCTGACTTTGATCTTCTGAGAAAAAAGTCAGGATTCTGAGATTAAGGCATAAATTTTGAGTTTAATGTTAAAATTACAGAAAAAACAGTAAAATTCTCTGATTCAAAGTCAGAATTTTGAGGATAAATTAGGATTCTGAGATTAAAGTCAAAATTCTGACTTTGATGTGAGATCAAAAGTCAGAATTCTGAGTAAAAGGGTCATAATACTCTGATGAAAGTGAGAATTATGAGAATAAAGCCTGAATTCTGAAATTAAACTCAAAATTGTGACTTTAATCCCAGAATGATGTCATGTGGTTGGATTACGGTCATTAAGGTCAATCAGGTGTAAGAACTGAATTTACACCTGATTTAGCTTCCGAAGGCTGTTTGGGGATTCTGCATGAAAACATCTGGAAACGTGAGAATCTGAGGCAGAGGTTCAGTAAAATAAGGGCGAAGGACGTAGAAAAGGGTTTGACACGCATCTGAAACCCTTTCAGTTTGGATCTGTACATGTCAGAGGTAATGTACCAACGTCTGATCTATATCTGTCTTCTCTGGTTTATATTTTCCTCCTGGGATGTTAGGAAGTATTTTAAGGTCTGATTCGCCATCAAGCCAGACAAAATCGAAAAAGGTTTTTGTAAGATGAACTCAGTAAATGAACTCTGGCATGGAACCAACATTATGCACTTTGCTGATCTATTATAAAGCAATTTACGATGCACTCAATTTGCTTCTATTGGTGGAGTGCATTAAGAGGGATAAACACAGATGAACTTTACAGTACGGTAGTTTGTTAGCTTTCTCTCATTTGTGCATCACAGAGCTGAACACATGCACGTGAAAGCTCCTTCACTGATCAGAATCCATTTGCAGACCACACCCGATGTTGTTTCGTGCAAAATAAATGCAGCACTGCACAATTTACTGGCATCTCATTAGGGTTGTTTTGCTCCTGTAAGATTCAATCCAGTGTCTTGAATTAACACTTTGAATATCTGGAGTTGATTGAGCTCATATTTGACCGCAATTCAGCTCTGAATTACGGTAAAATAAAGAAATAGGTTTATTTTCACTTGTCTGTGGGGGTTTTCATGTATTATTTGGAAGATGCACCATATGTGGTTGCTCAGGTTTAAACTAGCTGATTTTGTTAAATTGTAATTGTTTTGATCACTGATCTTTGTGTTTTTCTGGTCTTCATTTTTATTTTACGTCAAATACTTTGCTTCACATTAAAGCAGATCCTGGAAACATAAAAAAAAAATACTGACTCCCCTTAGATGTAAAAAGAAACATTAACTTTTAAAACAGTTTTTTGAGTCATGGCCACAAAATCAAATAAATGCCATGTTTCCATGGATGATACATTTACTTCTGCCGTGACACACAAAGAGTGAAGCCCGTCACGCTTTATGGCTGTGAACAGAAAACGTTTGTTTCTTGACTAAAAAGGCCTTTGAAGTAGGAATTTTTCTAGTGGTAAATTTTATTAGCAACAATAAAGGATATACTGAGTTTTTAGATTTAAGTGAAGCAAAAAAACCAAGACAGTTCATAGCTGGAACAGAAGGCTACACAGACTGGCCAGGAGGTGACACTTTTGTTTTTCTAAGTGGGTAAGATTCATTAGGCACAAAAAAAAGTTTACTTTTGCAGATTATAAGTTATGGTAGCATTATTTTTTAATAATTTCAAAGCCATCTGAGTATTTAAAGAATTATTACAGCCAGTAAATATGTAGTTAAAGTTAGAGACGACACAATATGTTGTGAAGAGATGATATCTGGAGTTCAGGTGCCAGGCCTCTCATGTCCTAGCAGTTAAATTCTCACTAGCAAAAAAAAAAAAAAATACACTGATTATATGAACAAAAGTGAGGCAATGCGTGGCTTACTAATATAAAGAGGTGGACGCAATTCTTTATACCCCTCAGTTAATGAAGGAAAAACCCACAATGGTCACATAAATAACTTGTTTCATGAGTTTATTTTTTAAAATAATTCTGGTGAAGCATGTTTGAAAAGCAATGTCTGACTTTCATTTGCTCATTTTCACAGAATTTGTATTTATTATCATCTTTGTCAGGTTCAAGTCATTTCTGTGACCATTGTGGGTTTTTCTTCCATTAACAATGTTGTCCATGTGTGTAAAGAGCGCAATGCCAGTCAGAAGTGGAGCAAACAAATCTAAATGTTAGTTTTTCTAATTACAGCTGTTGCTATAACATGCGTTTCCCTTATTGTGGTGGATTAAAGACAGATTGGGTTTAGTAAACCCTCATTAAAGTGTTTTGTTTTAGGTTCTTCAGGCTGCCGCACTGAGAAATCACAATATTTTTGTAATTGCTATAAGAGCCATTTATCAAGATTCTCAAACAGAATAATTTTTATTGAGTTTTTGTTCTAAAAACCTTCCTTTCTTCCAATCAGGAAGAACAAAACAAAACAATAAAAGGCTTTATATTGGAGAATCAGCTTGGCTCTGGTTCACTGACTCAATGTCTGGCTGGTTAACCCTGTCCCCTCGTTAACTTGTTGGCTCATTAGCAGGTGTTACGAGATGGGATCCAGGCCCAGTCTTTTTGGGTTTCCAAGTCGGATGTAGCATCGCTGTTTAACAGGTGCTAATTGGCATTTAGCACCACTTGTCTGTGTGAAGGCGGTTTAAAAAAAGGTCACATAAAAGAGGCTGTGGATTCCTCCTCAACCAACAGAATTCACACTATACATCCATTATAATCGCAGGGGGTTTCCTGCTTCCGGGAAAAAAACAAAAACAAAACAAAACATGTTTTGCTGGTGGGTAAGAGAAACGGGAGCAGTTTCATTCATCATACGTCAAGTACGCTTTTATGAAAGGAAGTAGAGCGAGGAAAATGCCCCTCGATGTGACTGACAGCTTTCAGAAAGGGGTATTCCCTGCATGAGTCACTGGTGAAGGGTGAGAGATGCTTCACGAAGGGAGCGTGGCCTCATTTCTGTCAGCTCATCAAAGAACCGTCTATCTCTGCAGCCCCTCACCCCCTTTACTTCCTCGCCCCTCTCAATCATGCATATAGATGGAGTTTAAAATTTAAACAAGAGCCTCTGCCTTGCTCTAGTGCTCTACCGAGCGTCTCTGTCCTATATTTGACCCCCCGAAAAAGTAAACAAAAATAGCTTAAAAGATTTCAATATCGGCAAGGTCAGTGCAAAAACAAAACATTTTACCAAGTATTTTTAGTCTAGTTTCTAGAGTAAATCCTAAGTAATTTTAGCAAGAAATTGAGGTTAATTTTAAGTAAATAATTCCTTAATATTGGAGTGGTGGTTTCACTGGGAGAAAAATTAACTCATGACATGGGAAAAATGTCTTGCAAGTGAAATAATCTACAAATGGAAATACTACTTTTTCATCAATATTAAGAAATTAACTTAAAACAAAAAAAAAGGTTTCCTGTTAGTTTTGTCTTATTTCAAGTGTACTAAGATATTTGCACTAGAAACTAGACTAACTGTACTTGTTAGGATTTTGTGTTTTTGCAGCGATAGAGTGAGGATTACGCTGCGTTCACACCAAACGCAGCGTGTTTTGTGCATGTAGTGATGCGCTATTTGGAGCATTTGACATTTCACTGTGTCCGATGCTGGAGTTGGAAAATCTGCGGAGCGTCACCCAATCAGAGAGACTCGGCTATGTGACGGAGCGTTCTGTAGTGGGTGTCCTGCCAGGAGATGGAGGCACCGTTGCGAGTCAGCAGATCGTCAAGCTGGGCTCAGGTGAGACCAAAACACTGCTGACTGCAACCGTCACCAGCGCCCAGCTAGCTTGTGAAACTCCCAACACCTCTGAATTACCGGGTAAATTCAAACACGTTCCCGACGGACACATCTAGATACTCAATATTTCATCTACCATTGTTCAAAATAACCAGTAGAGGAAAAAAAGGCCAAAGCCTCCAATGCGCGTTGTGACGTTATCCACCGTCTCCATTGTTTGTTCAAAAGAAACTGAACACAAAATGTTCAACAAAGACATCTGAGCCTCCGTTATGACTACAGAAGCTTTCGTTGCACAATATTTTGGTGCCACTTTCTTAATTTCATCCACCATTGTACAAAGAGAGCGGCAACGGAAAACAACGGCTCATTCCAACGAGCGTCCAGAGCGATTTTGACGCGCCTCCACATAGACTTGGAATGCAAACCTGGTGTGCGAAAAGTGTTTGGTGTAAATGCAGCATCAGTGTTAATTTTCTGAAAATTTAACTTCTTCCAGACTATGATATAAGCAAATACAAATCGACTTTTTCAAGGATCAAGGAAAATTTGTCACGATGGTGAAGTGAAAGCTGTGGAAATTGTGTTTAGATAATTTTACATAGAAGACAGAGAAAGAAGAACATTTATCTCAAGTTTACAGGAACGGTTGAGTTTCAGAATCTGATCTGCAAGCAGGAGCTCCATCACATGTACGTAACTTTATACATTTCAAAGTTACTGTGAAATAAAGTGTTCTCACTGCAAGATGAGCAATGCAGTTTCAGGAATACACAAGGCGTGACTCATGACTGGAGAAACAAGTCTCTCTGTTATCAAACAGCTTTTAGGATCAGACTAAAGATAAATGCAAGGGTGAGTTTCTCTAGATGTTGCTGGAACATCAGTCCTTTAATCCTGGAAATGTTCTGGTGATAGAAGACCAACTTTGTAATCGCCTTTATGTGTCTAAATGTTCAGAGACGAGTTCATCACTACACCCAGACTTTCAGTCCTGATCACTGGTTTCTAGCTGTAAAAAACATAACATAAAAACTGAAAATACCTACATTCAGTGGAAGAGGAAGTGGAAATCTGCTCCTCTTAAAACAGATTTCGTCATTTAGGCTTGTTGATTTTCCCTTTGGGAATGCAAGTCGCTATAATCAGACACGATAAACAACTCCGAGTCACTGTATTTAAAGTATTTTTAAAAATATTTTAAAATATGGGAACTTCTGGTTGCTCTCCTGGGAACAAATCTTTCCCACTATAATAAGTCTTCAGCTGATTCTGACAGAGCCTGAGGTTTTACCACGTCAGGAGGGATTCATCATTCCTCCTGCATGGCTGCGGTTTGCTCCAGAGGCTCTTCCCAGAAAACCTCTGAAGAAAGGTGCAAGGCTTCTTGATCTAATGTGAAAACGGTAGAAAGCCTGAACTAAGCCTCAAGGGCAGCTTCATCTGATTTATTATTTACAAAACTCGTCTTTCTTCAGCTGAGATAATAGTTTTAATGTGTCGATTTTTTTCCCCGTAGAAAAACGAGTCAGTAGCAGAAATATGACAAAATATTTATGTATTTATACAGCAATGCAACAAGGAAGAAATGTTAATTTAATGTTATTGCTAAAGTAATAAAAGCACGTCTAATACACATAATACTATTTTTTGTGCAAAGGGAGGTAAAACAATGGATTAAGTGATTAAACAATTAATTTGAGATTTTAAAGTATATATTTTAAGCCAAACAAAGGCCAAATTCAGAGTGAATGTCTGGAAGTCATAAAAATATTGATATGCTATTTTAAATAAGAAAGATTAAGATTAATTTTACATATTAGAAAACTGAAAAACCCATGAGAGAAAATGATTTTTTCATAGATCTGACAGAACAATTTCACTTCATTTTTTATTTCATTCACTCAATAATACATTTTAATAGCTCATGTAACAACTCAAAGGAATCATGAATAAAAAAGGAGCAGAAAGTATAAACTTAAATCTGCCTCCCATTTACATAAAGAATACACACATCTGTGTACATCAAGGATCAAGGAAAATGTGTCACGATGGTGAAGTGAAAGCTGTGGAAATTGTGTTTAGATAATTTTACATAGAAGACAGAGAAAGAAGAACATTTGTGTGTTTTTAAAAAATACACAGATGTATTTTTTTTAAAAACACACAATTTTCAAATTTCTTGAGATTCAGATTATTTCATCTCACTGGCAAATTTTTTCCATAAATGAACATCTTTAATTGAAATTTATCTTTCCATAATTGTTCTGACTTTAAAACTTTGGAATTTGAATTTTTTAAGGCTTTCTCTTCTTACAAAAAATTTACATGTACGTTTAAAATTTTAAATAGATTTTACATAAATTTATTTTATACATTTATNTATAATTGTAAAATAATTTATATATGTAATAACTTTTACATATTTTTTTAATTTACATAAAATCACAAAATATTACATGAATTACGTAAAAAAAATATATGTAAAATTAATTTAACAAAATGTACATTTTTGTAAAAAAATTTTTTTATACATTTTACAAAATTCATGTAAAATTGTGAGGCTTTAATCTAATTTTATATGAATTTATTTTACAAAAAATAACTATAAATTAATTGATAAAGTATAAAATTAATTGAAGTTATTGAAAACTTTACGTCTGTAACACAGGAAACTGAGTAGATATCTTTGCTTCCAGTGTTTGAGAGCTTCGGCTCTGCTGATGGTTCCTGTTTAAACAAGCAGGAAGAAAGTTCTGGACTTTGGCCATCACTGGTCAGACCAGACAGGAAGCTGAGAGGTCCGGTTTACCTATCTCAGTGCAGATATATTGATGAAATTTGTGTTAAAGTTTCTCTCGGGTGGTTCTCTTGGAAGCTTTTGACGAAACGTTAAAGATAAAATTGGTTGCGTTGCTCTTCCCTGACACAAAGATGCATTGATAAAGAAAAGAAAACACCCAGTGCACTTCGGGGTCCGCTCAGAATCGTCTCTGCATTCCTGAGGCGTTTCCCTGGCTCCCCTCAATATACGACAGGTTAAGAGGTTTGTGGGAAACTGGAGCGTTTGTTTCCCATCCGCAGCTAGCTAATGGCTTCAGCTTAAGTGGTTCGGATGGATCCATAACACCACAGGGCCCCCTTCAGGGAAGAGTTTGTTTAGAGGAGGCAGCCTTTTGGGATTAAACCGCGATGGCACAAGTGAGAAATTTCTCTCTCGTGACGTATTTCTCATTATTTCCTCTCTGCAGTGGTGAGGGTAGATGGAAGCCCCCAGCCCGACTCGCCTCCACCCGAAGTCTAAGGAAGAAGAGGAGGACGAATTGGCAGGGAACAGAAGGAAGGGGGTGCCACGCAGTGAATGTAAAAACAAGACATTGATTCATAATTCAAGTGGCCACAGAAAAACGTACACAACCCTCCAGTATGCTTGGGGCAGCCGACGGAGACTCTTCGTCCCTGCATGTGGAGTCAAACTGTCATATAGCGTGCCTGGACCCTGAATCTAAGGCAATATCAAACAAGAACACGTATAACGACATGCAACATAGTTTTTAGGAGCTGCCAGATTAACCTGTACTTCCCTTTCAACATCTCAGTTTTTAATTCCATGTTTATGCTTTTTTTTAAGTATTATTTTTCTTTATTTGAAGGGCATTTTTTTCCCTTCCTGTCTTTCTCTGTTGGCATCAGAGATCCAAAGACAGCAGGGGTGCCATGAGCAATTCCCAGCTTTTTCTGGAATTTCTTTCTTCCCTTTCATTTAATGACAAATCTTAATGTCATTGTTTGAGAACGGCTACAAGGATTCATCCCTAGTGACTCATGTTTTGATGAGGCTGCTCAGTAATTAACGTTTTTTTGAATAATTAGCTGGCTCTTCCTGTGTGCAACAGACATAAACTCCCTCTCTAGCAGTGCCTCCAGGGATTGTATTTCAGCAGCTTCATGTTCATAATGTTTGTCTCATGTTTGTGTTTGTGCGGTTCTTTCATTTCGAGGCTTTAGTTACACGACCGAATCAGCAGGCTGCCTTCACTGGATGTGCAACGTGAGAGGAACGTCTCTGGACTCGGCGCTGCTGCTGACTCACCGCGATGAGTCGTCTGAAGGGAAACGGGGGTGGGGGGATTCCATTTACGGAGCCAAAAAACAAACAAGCAAACAAAAAAGGATCACGACTGCTAATTAAACTACTTAAATGAGTTTGGGAGCAGAAAAAAAGTCAGATCTGCAGGAGGAATCCCATCCACAATCATTCTTCGGTGAAATTGGGACAGCCCTCAGAGGAAGCCGGCACTTCCACCTCCACAAGCTCACTCCTACCGTAAAACACACAGCCTTACTTACACAAGGCTTACCTGGGAGGCGGGTAGTAATTACCTCAGGGTTTTAGCTTCATTTACCCTCTGCTTGCAACACAGTTCCTGCTGAAGCCTCAGTGTGACGTCATATTTTCATTTTCCAATGCAGAACCACCCGACATTCACTGCATTTCCCAGTTGAAATCAAGCACTTAAGCACAGGCTTGCATCTCAGGCCTGGTGGCATCTTTTTTTATGGAATGCCCCTTTAATGTGCCCCTTCCTGCTGCTTGAAGCGACTGTAGAAGTGAGCTTAAATACCATGTAAAGGACACATACTGTAGCCGAGCTTGACTGCATTCATTGCTTACAGTGGCACATAGATTCTCAGGATTTAACTTGTAGTATGACTGAGATTAAATGAGTATTTAGACAATTTAAAATAAACAGTAGCGAAATAAATACTTTGATTTGGTTGTTTACATCCTGTTGATGTTATCAGTGCAAATTGTTGACTTATATCTGGGTAGTGAACCAGATTCTTGTCCGTTCAACCAGCACCAGTAGTTTAAATAATGTGTTACATGAGCACTTCGTTAAGGGGAGACGGGTTATTATTTACAATGAGGTGGAAGCTAATGCTGTGTTCACGCCAAACACGTTTTGAGCATCAGACACGTCTGGTGCCTGACGCTCAAAACGCCAGGCACCAGACCGGACGGTCTTTCATCATCCTCTTTTTCGACACCTTCTCTTCCTGTTGAGGGAGTTAGTTCTCCACTCTCCCTTTCTAGGGAAGTTTTTTCTGTTTCCTGAGCATGAACTGGAGACATTTCCTGTGATTCATCCAACTCAAGGTCCCAACATTCCAACTCAAAAGTTATAGGAGGGAAATCGTCCAACTGTGGACATGGGTTGGAAGGTTGGAACGGTCCACATAGGCCGTTCAAAGCCTATGTGGACGTTTCACGAGTCTAGCGCTGCGTGACTTAAAGCGTTCTGAGCGTTTGACGCGCATTCAACGCGATGCTGGAGTTGGAAAATCTGAACTTTCACTGCTCAACGCGGCGCATCAACCAATTAGAAACTTGGCTATGTGACATAAAGGCCTGTAGTTGGTGTCCTGTCAGGAGATCCAGGCACTGATTAGCTGGTGGTCAAACTGGGCTCAAGTGAGATGAAAACACTGCTGATAGCGACCGTCGTCAGCGCCCAGCTAGCTTATGAAAACTCACAACTCCTCTAAATTATCTGGTAAATTCAAACACGTAGACACATTCTGTTGATTTCAATAAATAAAACCTAGACAGTGTTTTCATCTGCCATTGTTCAAAGAAAGAAAGGGAAAAAATTCAAGAAGCTCCAACGCGCATTGTGCCGTTATCAACCGTCACTGTTTTTTGTTCAATAGAAACTGAACATAAAATGTTCGTCATCTGAGCCTCCGCTATGACTGCAGAAGCTTTCACTGCATCATAATTTGGTGTCACTCTCTCAGTTTCATTCGCCATTGTACAAACAGACCAGCAACGGAAAACAACGGCTCGTCCCAACTCAGGTCTAGCACGATTTTGATGTGCGTCCATATAGACTCTGAATGTATCCAGATGCGGCTGATGCTCAAATCAGCCGCTTTTGGTGTGAACGCAGCATAAGCATCAGGCGTTTGACTTCAAAGCTGCTGAAGCCAGAGGTGTTTGTGACAAGCAAAGCGTGTTCGGTCTGAACGCAGCATCAGGGCCAAAAGTGCATGCGCATTTGACGATGAGCTAAAACCACAGCGCCATCTAGTGGCATGACAACTACAGCTGACTCAAGGTGCACAAGAGGAAAATTTCCCCAATTAACATTGGAAAATACTGGCAGTTTCCAGGCAATGGTCTTCTGTAAATGTAGCCTTATTGGCCATTTGCAATAAAATCTTGGTGGTTCACAATCAATTAGCCATAATGCTAGTGGACTGCAAAACGAAACATGGCAATTAAGCTAACTCAAAAGAACCAGCTGATGGAAAAGTAGAACAAAAAATGAAGTTTTAAAAAAGAAAACTAATTTAGTTACCATTTTGGGAATTGCTTCACTCCATCTAGCCTTTTGCTTGAATTACCACAAAGGTTATTCCCAGTTTCTTGAATATACATAACCTCATCACAGACAACAAATTGTCCGCCTAATCTTAGTCAAAGTTTTGTGAAAAACTATTTGCCCTTTTAAGATTTCTTCTGTTTTTGCTGTTTCATTTCCAAAATAATCCCTCAAATAAAATCTGCCAGACAAAAGAAGTAAGAAGATCTTTTCTCTTTTTGACAATCTGGAACACTAAATCTGAAAATACCCAAGTGTGAGAAAAATGTAACAGAAGACATACATTTTCACTGAAGTTTGAGCACATAAAGCTCACAAAAGTATGGCATTGCCCTGCCTAAACCCTGTAGCTTTAATGCATATTTATTTAACAAAGAGGCAAAAATAGTAAAAATCACTCAGTACTGACATTATTCCCAATTTTTCTTTATTAGAAACAAAAAATATCTAGCTTGCTAAGTTTAACAAGTTACAGTAACGTCTCCTTTGTTTACTATGTTGGTGAGGAGAGCAGGTTTCAGATAACCTATATGTATCAAAAGGATGTGTGCCTGTCTGTAGACGTGGTATTTTTAGGTAGGAAAAAATGTTTTATTGCATTAGAATATAAGAGACATGAATGAATAGTCTGATCAGATGACAGTTGTAGGATTGGCATAGATTTGTCTAGAAATAACCAAATTGCAAATGTTAGAATAAAATAAATCAGTGTGAAACTCTCCAACTTACAACACATTTTGCTTAGAGAGTCACTTTCCAACAATATCTGAGAGGTATCAGTTTCGTCATTTTATTCTCAGCAAGAGTGTGAATGCAGACAAAACCTTTAAGGAAACGAAAGATGTTTTTTTAGCTTGTTAGCGGCGCTTTTAGAGTTTAGTGATAGATAGGAAATGTCTCGCCGAGGGAAGAAAACAGTGAAAATGACTCATTACGTCCTTTGTGGCTCTGCATGGATCAATCACTCGGCCACAAACACCCCAAGACAATTAAACTTTCTGGTTGCCTCACTTTTGATTCATGAATCAGTGCAGTGTAATAAATGAAAGCAAACAAAAGTCTGCTGTAGTTTGCAGCTCTGTAGCAGATGTTGGTGTGAACACGTAACCACACAGACACACACACACACACAGGAGTGTATGATTCACTCCTCTATTGAGAGCTGGAGTGATTCATCCTGCATGAGGGACTGACATTAAAGCAGACTTCGCTACACTTCGTATGAGTGACCAGAAAGTTGATTTAAAGGGAAAAAAACAACAAATTTTCTTCATCTCCATCCCCCCGCTGAGGTTCCATCAGCCCTCCAACAGTGCACTCATCCTGCCTAAAGCTGACGTATTCCCCTTTCTCCAACAGATTCAGACACTTTGTGAGAATGTACAGCCTGGGTAGAAACAGAAAAATATGCAAGACATGTTCAAAGGAATAGTTTTCATTAGGGATGCACGATATTATCAGCATAGCATCGTATCGGTCGATATTAGCTGTAAAATTTAATATCGGACATTCCATCAAATATAACTCACCGATATAAAAAGTGTTGTTTTTATAGAGCAAATGAATACATTTGAAGGTAACCATACTGCAAGTTGAAAGTGTTACATCATTTTCAGTCTCTTTCTAGCATTTGCATTTGGTAGCAGGCTAAATTGACAAAGACAATACAGTATTTTAATTCCACAGTAGAGAAAGCCATATAGTTTCAGTAAGTAGGTATAGGAAAAAAAATATCGGTATTGATGACGGTTATAGGCGAAATGAGTTTTAGCATATCGGCATAACGAACAAAAATCCAATATCGTGCATCCCTAGATTTCATGTTTGCCCCATTTCTGCAGGTCTGAATTGATTTTCTCCTTACATTTCCAGTTTATTAGTAGTATCTTGAAATAAGCATTTTTTTTTAAGTGAGCACTTATTAGATATGATTGCACTCAAAGAGTGTACCACAGTTCAAGTGCCTGTGTACAGTGTCTAACGTTTTTTGAGTTCAGATGTTTTAACTGTTACTTATGTTTTTATTTTGCATCTTTTTTCATTTGTGTTTTTTATGTGCTTTCTTTTATATATTTTAGAACTAATGAAGGATTTTCATGAACTGAAGTCACAAACATGGAGCCTTGGAGACTCACGAAAACTGTAAAATCTTGGCACCATTATAGAGACTTACATTACAAACAGGTTGCCAATGAACACATACTGTATGTTAATATGATGTATTAGGGTCATGTAGCATTTTGAAAGCTTAAACATGTTGCCAGGTACTTTCACAAGGCTGTTTGTCAACAGAAATGAGCGCTACTGTACAGATTCAATGCATGTACAGTAGTTTTATCAAGTACCTCCATTATAGAGGCATCAAGATATGTAATCTGCAGCATAGTGATGTCTGTGGGGAGGCTCACTGTGAATCTCTGAGATTTTAATACTTGATACAAACACATCAGGACTTGGTCCTCCCTTCCCAAAAAAACGCTGAATGTCCTATGTAGTTACCTACTAATGTAAAATGCATTGTGTAAATGTGAATTTCTTAGAGTTGATACGAGATAGAAAAACATGCTTTAAATAAAACGGAAAAAAAACTGAAATGTGTGCAACAGTAATAAAATCACAATAAAAAGATTTCATTGCACCATTTGTCTCGTATACGTTTGTTGTCAGCGTGAGATTGTTTACGTCGAGATGCATAGATAGATCTGAGGTTTGTATTTTGTGACAGGCTTACTTCCTCCAAGTACTGCGGTAAAAAAATATATATTTTCAGAATATATATATTTCGTTAATGCGACCTCTGATATATATATATATATATTTTTTATTTATTTATTTTTTTTACAAATTATACTAAATAAAGACATGAAAGCAAAGCCACAAGAGGAGGAGGATGGAGGTTCCCAGGTTCAGGTGGTGTATCTGAGTCGTCCAAAGGAGAGAAGGTGAAGCAACAACGTTTGCTTCATTTCTAGTTCTTTTTGGCAAACGTTTTCACTAGATTTAACTGTTTAACCCACAGTCTTAGCACAATGCTCAGGAAGAGTGCAGCAGATGTCACGGTCGGCCAACTGGGTGACCCGTCAGCTCTTCAATTAACGAAACTACAAAAAAATCTTATAAACCAGCGAACAGCCAAAACCGCACATATGGTAAAAATGTCAGGCGGGATCCAAACCACCGCTCTCAGAACTACAGGAGGTTTCAAACTCCACTCATTCATTTTTAGCTTACAGAAAAAGAGTCAAGCCACCAAATAAACAAAAGTAAACTGACCAATAACATTTAGGATTTGGCGTGCCCACCCCCACAGACTCGCACAGATGTGTGCTACGAACAAGATGACACAAAAGATCTTTTTCTTAATCCATAATTTTAAAAGAGGGTTGGATAATAAAAAATCCCAAAGATATTTTATTTTTTTACTTAAAGGAAAATCTCAAGTACAGCTGTAGGCGCTCCTGCCCCAAATAATGTCTGCTTCTGCTTCCACAGCATATATGAAGTAAAGTATTAGTAAGGTGCTGCTAGTTATATCCAACTGGGCAACTAATCTTCTGCAAGCCTTACCACCACTTTAAAAATAGAAATCTGTCCGCTTGTCTCACTGGAATATTCCCAGCTGTTTCTGCTCATCAACCACTGCACATCATTGCACAGTGAGAGACAATATTTGCAGATGGAAAATATTTCGTACAGTTGTCAAACTTCCTAGAAGACAATGTCCCAGCACATTCACTCCAAGGTCAGACGTAGGAATGCTCAGAGAAACTTCAACCTAAAATAAACACGGCTTGTTTGGGATGGTTTCCATGAGAAAAGTATGGAAGCATGACGTAGAGTTGTTAAGATGCAGACATGTCCTCGAGACGGATGGGATTAAAGTGGATAAATATGCGTGCTCAAAAAAAGTAGTGCTCAGTGTTTGCTGAAGTAAACATGGACGCTAACGATTTTGAAGTTGTCCAATTGGAGCCAGTACATTAACAACTTTATCCTCGTTATCGTCTGCCATGGTTGTTTTTTCCCCCACTTGCAGGATGCAGATAAGTGACATTTGTTGAGCATCAATGACATTAGATTCTGGTCACATTTGAAAACATCAGATACGAATCGGATATCCAAGCGGCCTGAATTGCATTTGAAAAAAACCCAACCTGTGTTGTTCAGACTGTCATAAAAATATCAGATACAGGCAAAAAAAAAATCTGAATTGGGTCACTTCGAGCTGCAGTGTGAGTGCAGCTTAATACAGCAAAAATGCAAAATTAACTCGTACCAATTGTCAAGCATGGTGGTGGAGGTATTATGATTTGTTGGAGGTTGTCTTCCAACCTTATGTTATGCATCTGTAGCTGGTATCAAGTCAGACATTATTTTTATCACGGTGTTTTGTGATTTGTGTTTTGTGTTTTGTCAAATACATCAAAAAATAATACAGCAGATCTCTATTAAAGTTTTTTAAAAAGGTTTTGCAGTGCACTCAAATGACAATGGACTGAAAACATTTTTATTTGTAGTTTTTGTGACTTTATTATACAGGATGTTGGGAAATCATGCAATGCTTCAGTAAACATTTGGCTAATTTGTCTTCTGACAATTTATTTATATTTTAACAAAGACCTGGGCATTATACTGCAAAACTGTGGTACTGTCAAACTCCCAATAAAGCTGCTTTATTCATCATATTTGTATGTTTTTGTTTGGAAGTAAAGTTAGTCTGGAAGTGTGACTAAAATGTACCTGGCATTTTAAATTATGGCTCCGTCTAACAGACAAAAAACCCCAGATACATTTCTGTGTCCAACTATCCCCATTACAGGTCGCTGCAGACTTGAGAAGTAAAGCTTGTGACGAGGTTTTCTATCCACCTTCGCATTTGCCTGCCTCAAAATACGAAGAGAGAATTTATCTTTGTTGGCTGTTCATGGTTTCTCTCCCTGCAATCTGCTAGTAGCAGCACTGATTCAGCTCATTACTTCTGTCTCTCTGGATTTGATGCAGAGCTGTGCAGTGCTGACACCAAGTGAAGCATTACGGCCTTGAAGGAGAGCGCGCTTTTTAGAAATTTTGTCCAAAATTTGCTTGTGCTGCAGATTTTCCTCCAGTCTCAAGATGGTGAAAACTTGCAAAAATATATAAATATATATTTAGACATAGCAGGGTTTTTCCCAGGCAGGATGGACTGGAAACCTGGTGTGCTCAACTGGTAAGACTCATCTAAAATGTGCAGCATTATATGTCTGATGGTAACAGTCTTTAATATTAACTGTTAGTGATGTTGGACTTTTTGTCATTTGGCTTTGCAAACAACCTGTAAAAACATTTAGCCAAAAACCATCCTGGTTTACTAACTCCTTACAGGCTACTTTTACAAATTATTTTCGTTCAGCACATGCTAAATAAACCTGTTTATTGTAAATAAATTCAGGATAAATGCCATCCTGGATGCTTTTGTTGCAATAAAATTTCTATTTTAGAATTTATAAGTTAATTTGTCACGTTATACCATATCAGAACCAGGGGGTGTCAAACGCATTTTCATTTTGGGCCATTTAAAAAATCTGAATGCTCTTAAAGGGCCGGTTGTGCCAGGATGTACTAATAAAACCATTAAACTGCTAAAATATCAATAAATAGCTGTTTGTTTTAGTATTCAATAAGCGTTTCTTGTCTGCTTTTCTTTTCTTTCTGCTACCATCTTCTTTTGGAGTAAATGCCAGTTAGCACTGGTTGCTTGATCAGACAGATTCAGCTCAGCTTTAAAACCAGTTCCACGTGGGTTTCGGATCCAGTTTGCCATAATTAATTTGGATGTCTCTTTGTTTTGTTTTGTTTTTTCTGTGGTGATCTGAGGAACGTTACCACAACCAGTTTTGTGCTTGCTGTAAAACACAAGACCTCTGGTACTCTGGCTAGATTTAATTTCATACCTGACTGCTTCATGAAAGTATTTTTTTACTTGGATAATTTTTTCTATTTTCTGTGGAATCATTTCCATCCATCCATCCGTAGCCACTTCATGGTGTTCATGGCCATGGGGGCAGGTGCTCATCTCCAGCAATCTGTGTTAATGTAGGGATAACTGCACAGGAAAACTCTCACATCATCTAAGGATCATTCATAGGTAAATTAATCTAGCACGCATGTTGTTGGAATGTGGAAAGAAGAAAAAGTGCCCAAAGAAAGACGATGCATGAAAAAGGGAAAAGGAGAACAAGCTGGAAAGTCTCAAACCACTTTTGCTAGCAAATCTATCTTCTGCTTTAAGCGCACCTGTTCAGATAAGAGTGCTGTAAAACAAACAGAAAAATAAAATGAGCCTAAATATAGATCTTTTATAGTGCTTTATCTTTCAAATAAGACAATAATTATGAAAACATTTCCCAGATGCAACAAAACATTAAGAAACCAGGGATTATGAGCCTGGAGGCCACCAGGCTTTATTTGTGCCCCCACCAGGCTTAGCATTGTTTATTTATTCAAATTTCCTGTCAACTTTAAACATTTTTTAACTCAAAAAAAAAGACGGGTCACTGGATGAACCCCAACCACCAGGTTTAGCAAGTTTTCTGGGGGAAACCGTGGAAACTGCTGGCAACTTCATATTGACTGTGGAACTGATGTAGTTAAATATTTTACTACAGGATCTTAGCTGGTATTTTTCAACATTCTTGAGCTATATACAACGACTTTATTGTTGACAAACAACCAGTTTCTATAATAAGAAACTGATAACTGTTGAAAACCACCTAATAGCTTAACCTATCCCGTCTGTAAAATCTGTCAAAAGTCTCAGAAATCGAATTTGGACTCAAAAGGTTTGCACAAAAACATCCAAAACGCTTTTCTGGAGAAAAAAAAAAGCGTCAAGCAAATAAAAATAAAACTCAGAAACCAGAAAGTATGAAGTGATGGAGCTGCTGCCAAACCGCAGTTAAAAGCAGAACCATATGTGACTGTCTAAAGGCTGGGACTGTGGTTCTCTACAATTTTATCACCACTTAAACTTCTTGGGGTCCAGGAGGCTCGCTTTCTGTGTCCGATTTATCTTCATCGATAACTGCTTCACAGACACTAATTGGCATGATGTAAGGAAAGATCGAGTACAGTACAGATGCACTTGTGGCGGTCTTGCATCAGTTTGTGGGAAAATGCAGCACATTTTTTGGTGCTGAATAGTTTTTACCCCCCTCTGATTGATTTACATATGGGATCCTCAATGCAACCAACAGACCAGGACTTACAGACAAACTAGGATTTTAATTTTGTCAGATGGAGGGAAAAAAATCAAAACTCTTTTTTTCTGTCAAAGTGAATCAAGATTTTGTCGTAACAGATGAAAGCCATGAAAGGATGAAAGGAACAGGCAACAATCTGAAACCTGTTTTGAGCACTGCAGATATATTTAATACAGAATAAAGGTTTCTAAAAATACTCAAAACCGGCTTTGCTTACAGACTATTTCACGTCCTGTTGGTTTTCTAGATGTTTATCAGAGATCTAAAACAATTACTACTCACTGGAACACATGGATCACAAGCAGGAAGTCGATTTGAACTTTACCCAGCAGGGCCATCGAGCTTCATCAGCACAAAGCTTTGCTCAAATGGTACAACATATCTAATCAGCTTAAGGTGTTCCTGAAGTAAAAGTTCATCTGCAAATAGAGCAATATGCTTATCAGACTGAGATAAAGCTGAGAATGACGTCATAATGGGCCAGGATTGCATTGCTTTGGTGGGAAGTGCATTAATTGTGACAGATTGGACTTTCTATACATCAACTGCTCACACTCATTAAAACAAACAAAACAAAAACACAGAAGTGCACACGTGTCAAACTCAAGGCCTCGGGGCCAAATCTGGCCCGCCGTAGTTTTTTATGTGGCCCTTTAGACTCAAAATTACATCAATGAGTCCCTCCGGTTTTTGCACAAACCTGCAAAATTCACACAAAATCAAAAAATACCCACATTTTTTCACAAATTTTTACTGAAAATTTCTCTCAAAATTGGCCAAAAACATTGGGTTTAAGTGACTGCTGCATCAGCCTTACTTGATGTCAAGTCAAATCCGTGATTGATACGACCATTAATAAAAAGTCACATTTAACATTATACATTAGCACAGATATCGTAAAAATTCCTTGCAAATATTTCTAAATTAGCACCAAAAATTCTGTGATTTTGATTGCAAACAAAACCCAAAAACATTTTCAAAATCCTGAATGGACTGACTGACCGGTGTGAAAAGATGTTCAGTATTATTAATTTTAAGAAACATTGACTGAATGCTGAAACAAATAACTATTGATATTTTAACAATTTAAAGGGTTTATCAATACATTCGGGCACAACCGGCCCTTTAAGAACATTCAGATGTTTGATTTTGCCCAAAATGAAATTGAGTTCAACACCCCATTACAGAATTAGAAATCAACAGACCAGTTTTGCTTCCCCAACAGAGTCTAGCCACTGAAAGCCAAAATACGCCACACTGACATACAAAATGAATCAACCATTCAAAACACCAACCAGCATAAATAAACCACTGTTCACATTCTGGTTACAATTTCATTCCGATTGACCCGAGTCCGATCAAAATGTTCCCATTTGAGCCATTTTTATTCCAACCTGCCATTGTTTCAGAAATGTTGAAAACTACCCAACATATCTCCAGACTCACCATTTCCAATCATTCTTACATTGCTTTGGTGTGGAGTGCTTCATACAACATCATCAAACTACTTTTCCTGCGTGATAATAGAGATGTGCACACCCTCTTCTGAACGACTAATAATTACTGGTGACCATAGTCCATTGATCACATACTTACACAATTTCATTTAATGAAAATAGATTAGCTTAATGAAAACACACCAATTTTTAAAAAACAACAATTAATTTTTCGATAAGGATGATGTGGTTTTTCATCGTTTTAAAATTGGTTTATTTCATAAAACCGTGACAGAAACACTTTTTTGCATCACATGATCAACTGGATGTTGCCACTGGCGCAAACCACAAAGAAGATGACAACAGGAAGCAGTTGGAGGCTCATCCAGTGGAACATTTTCTAACGACACGTGTGATTTTAATTGCGTTTCTTATTTAACAGAAACACTGCAAAATTGTGTTTTTTTCAACAATACTGGAATATTGACAAAATTTTAGAGACATTTGTAATGGGAACTCAGCTACTGAGAAAATACAAATTAGCGTGTCTTTTTTGTTTTTAACTTTCCATTTTAAATCCCGGAACGATTTGTAATGGAAACGAAGCTCATGACAGATGTTGCACTATGTGCCTCTGATCTAAATTTAAAATAGACATGCACCCAAAATGAACTTGAAATTAACTTTTTAAAGAGAATTATTTATTTGACAAATGTCACTTTGAAAACATTCAGAGGTACTTGTTGCATGAGAATGTCATGAAAAAAAAAAAACTTCAAGGCTGGTTAAACAAAGCATATGTGCACAAAATGTTTTGGACAGCAACCTCAGTTATGCAATCTTCATCTGTAAGCAATGTGGGCTGACATTGGATGTTTGGATGTTTTTAGGCAGGAAGAAGGCAACGTGTGAGCATGTTTAACCAGGCTTTCAGTGGAGGAACCGTTCATGTTTATGTGGAAATACCTGACAGATAAACATGCAAGACGTCAGGGTAAATATACAGCATGCAACCCAAACAGCTGCCGTCAAAACAAGAAAAGGAGCCGTTTCTGCAGATATCTGTCTGATCTCATCAGTGTTCTCCCTCGAGTTGCTGCAGGATAAGGAATCTACGTGTGAGAGCTGGCAGACGGCCACAAATACCAGCTCTGCACCATGTTTGGGGCACATGAGGAAACCATTCAGCACAGCAGTAGTTAACACATAAGCACATAAAACCGTCCAGCTAGGCCTATTCTACTCGAATGCATTAATAAGAGGGGGCTTTATGAATAAAGACAGCAGAATTAATGGAGAGCACGAGTCAAACCGACAGAGCTGGAGATGGAAAATGATAAGAAATTGACATATGAAAGAAAGAAACCAGCTGTGGAGCCTCATTCTCCAACACCTCATTCTGGCAGACAAGTAGAGTGAGACACACCCTGCAGCGAAGCCTTATCAGTCAGAATTATTGTAATTTATTGGTCTGCACTTGTTGCTGTGGGACTTTTAATGCATTTCATCTGGAAGAAGAAAAAAAAAAGAGTAGGAATTGCAGAGAAACGCTTTGTTGTCTTTGCCTAGAAATCTGACTCTCAGCTGAGCAGCAACACATTTATCTTCTTTATGTTCTGTAGAAGCCCATAAATCAAATAATCATTTCGGCACAATGTCTGCCTGTTATCTTATAACAGAAAAGATAAGCAATCTTGTTTTTCACAATTAATTACAAGAGAATCAATAAGTTCTACACCTTTAAAAGGATCCAGGATTAGTCGCAACAATAGATTTTATTTGGGAAATATTTATTTTAGATGTAAAAACAATACAGTAATAATACTGTATGTTACTTAGTTTTTATACATTTTAGAAAATATTGTCACAGGAAAGTCACCATGTTCACACTGCAATGCATTCTGGGTAAATGATGTGTAATGGTCCAACTGCCTTTGCTCCATCCAGCCAAAACAGTGATGAGTAACGTCTTTAAGCCTTTTCAAATTGAACCAGAGCGCACTGAAATCGATCTGAATGTAGAAATCACAAGAAGTGATGAAGATGAGGAGGACCAAAGAGAGGAAGAGGACAGAGTTGGCTTTTGGAGCTGCTGCAGCTGCCTTCAGCTTCATAAATGAAAATGAATGACGCGTACCTCTGGTCGGACTGTGTGATCTGGTAAGTAACTCTATAGCGCTGTGTCGGTTCGTTATCGGTTGTTAATGTCCGAACTTCGTCTGGTGTCATAGTGGTTTCACATCCAGTACCGGTGTTCTAGCTCCATTAGCATTTCCAGCAGTAACAGCACTGTTAGCATTTCCAGTAGTAACAGCTCTGTTAGCATTTCCAGCAGTAACAGCTCTGTTAGCACTGCTTGTCTTTGATGTTTCTCCCAGCGGCTGTGTCCAGTTCGGCAACAGCTGTGGTGTGCTGACTGATCTTGGTCCGGTCGGATTGGTGGGTTCAGTATCTGGAGAAATATAGCTTCATTAGCATTTCAAAGAGCTTTCAGCTCTGCCTGTCCTGGTACGGCAGCACGGCATTTATTTTTAGTTTGTTAAAGTAACCAACAAACAAAAAAATAAAGTACTAAAAATTGTTAGAGCCTTTGTCAGTTTTGCTCATACAAATGACTCAAAGTCTTCTAGAGAGAAATGTTGAGAGCACCGATTAGGTCCTTCAGAAGTTGTTTTCCACTGCGCTCTCGTTTCTTTCATGTGGGAAATTATCCAGACTCAGGTCTTTTTTTTTTCTTTTTCTTTTAAATTACAGCCAGCAGTGACACCATGTGGCATTATTTAACTTACACCAATCAACCACAATATGATAAACTACTCAGGTGAAGTTAGCCTTCCTATGTTTACTCTGTAGATTCCAGTACAGAATGGACCAAAACGCGTCATCAACCCATCGGTGACAAAATGGTGTCACCATGGGTGAAAAATGTAAAAAAAGATGTAAAATTTTTTATATTTTGTCATATCACAAACATGTTAAACTAATCCTGGATCACTGTAAAGTGTTAATTCAACTTTTAAATCGTTGAAAGAATAAATGCAGGAACTTGTACCTGAATATGGTTTTGACCTTCATTGTGTAGTTTGACCATATCCATAGGTTTCCTGTCATCTTGTATCAAGATAAGAATTAATTATAATTTTTTTCAACACTACAATTAAGTTGGTAGAAGTAAAAGTGAAACCAGCTTCGTGCTGCAGGCAGTTTCGGTTTTAAGACTATTACAATTCAGCTTCCTGAATGAGAAGGGATATTTTGTTTAGGTGTAAACAAAGCAGAAATTGGGTCATTTCTGTGACACACAGAGAAATAAATTAGTCAGAGAAGAAATGCCTTTGGTGGCACACTGAAAGTAAATAATTCACCAAGAAAGGCTGCTCTCAAATACGTTATTACAAGCTTGTGGAGAGAAACAATGTGCCGACACTTCAAAGCATACTTTGTCATTATCATCTCTTAGAAGACATTAAATAATTAAAACCAGAGAAAACAATGTGTTAAGTTGTAACATATTTCATGTGATGTATAGAAATATAACACTGAAATATTTACCCTCCCCTGCTGCCTGCTGTTGAAGCTGCCTGGAATTTGTTTTCACAGGATTTTGACATTGACAGGAAAATGAAGGCTCGATTTTTCTCCCAAAGTGGATAAAACGTTTTATGAGTTTTATGGGCAAATTACAGAGCTTACAAATTCAATCTTTAAAAATATTCACTGAACTTCAACTTTTTTCAGTTTGCACCATTGAAACAACACATTCCAATACATTTTACTGGGATGTTATGCAATGGAATACACCAACAAAACATGTTGCATAACTGTGAACTAGAATGACTATGATGGACAGTTTTCAAATTCGTTTTGCTAAAATCTATTTTAAAAATGTGGCATGCCTTTGTATTCAGTGTAAAACAAAAATTTAATATATTCGTATCACCTTTGCACATCAAGTTGACATTTTTACATATTCTTCTTTCTTCCCTGTATTGTTGTATTACATAAAATCCCAGAAGAATAATATTTGCCTAGTGGATGCAATATGACAAAATGTGGGAAAAGTTAAGGGTCTATGAATGGGCATTATATTGACCCTTTGCAACTACGTCACTTAGAGGCGCCGTGATGGACGTCGGAAGTGAGGGACGGGAGTATTGAACAGAGCTACTGACAAAGTTTTCCAAAGTTGTTTTTGCCAGTTTATTTGTGGCTTCTACTTGTTCGAGTCGAGCTAATTTGTCTGTGAACGTCACACACATCTGGTTTGACGGCGGTATTTATAAAAGTTGGCAATAGCTAGCTTAGAAACCGACCCATACCTCCTCCCTCTTGATGAAATTACCGGCTTTGCCTGAGTTCACACCACATGATTTATATCACTATGTCATAAAAAGCGTTTCCCCTCAATGCTAACCAGTCCTTTCCGTACATGCTAGGCTACATGACGGCGCGGCTTTGTCTCCATGGTTACCAACGGTTCGGCACGTACCTTTTCCATAATGTGATATTTGGTCTTTCTAATCACACTTGCTTTATAACGTTAGTCTTCTTACCTTGTAAAAAGTGTTTGCTGCAAATCCACGGTTACACTGAGGGTTGCCAGTCATTATGATTAACAGCTGATATCCATGCTGTATCTTTCCATTTTAAAAGTTCTACAACAAAATGACAAGTCTGGTTTTCATCCTTGTCCGTTTCTGCAGCCGACCACGCAGCATCCTGTGGCCATTTTTAGAGTGAAATCAACTGAATAGAAGCGACATTAGGTTACAGATGTCTGTTTTTAGACTCTTTAAAGAAGCGCATTGGTTGTCCGTCATGACGGAGTGGGCGGAGCTCTGGAGAGCGTGACGTCACGTGCTAAGGGTCAATAACTTTGAGCATTTTTATTTCAAAGTCTGAGTAGTTGTGGGCATATGGCAAACAAACAATCAAACATTTAATTTCCTGTCAACATTTCTGATAAATACAATTAAGGCTGTTAGAATCTAAATCTTCAATTAACAATTTAATATATATTTTTTACATTACTATGATTTTTCAATATTTTTAATGTTGACATGAAGCTATTTGACTTTTCCTAATCACTGCCTTAACATTTCCTGTATGTAATTAGACCCTCCAATCGAATCCTTTTGCTATTCCCAAAATTGAGAAAGGATTAGATTGCAAATAAAATAAAATCAGAAGATATCTTTTTCCTTCAATGAATAAACCTCCTTTCTTTTGACATTTTTTACATCATTTACCAATAAATCAGCAGGACAAAGAGCTCTTACATCACTCACATTAATCTGCTGGCCATAAATTAGTGCTGATCTTTCTGCTACATTGACAGCAGTCCTTGCTTTCTATGCTCCTCTTAACAAAACAGACTAACGCTTAGGGATGATTACTTTTGAGATCAGTGAACAATCAGGCTTTGCTCATTAGCCTGCAAATCCCCACATTTAATGGACCGTTGGTCTCGACAATAATACTGAGAGCAGTTCTGTTTTCCCTCCTTGCAAAGAGGATGCTGCAGCTACAGTGGCCACATGATTTCAGCTCTATGCCCCCTGAATACTGAATATCCAGGGGATACATGGAAAGAATTGATGTTATTGTCTGTGTGGTCACATATGGAACAGAAGAGTTTCCAATTAGTAAAAGAAACCGAGACAAGATGATAATAAAGAGGAGGAGTGAGTGCTTTTGGAGCTGTAATGGGTAGACAAAGCCAACAAGTAGCTTCTTCTTTTTGCCATGGAGTATTCTCGGTGGGCTGCTACATCTGGACAGTTTGTGTGAGTGTGTGTGTGTGTGTGTGTGTGTGTGTGAGACATGGAGAAGAGAGCTGGATGTGCCTCCAAACACAGCTTAGAGCTGCAAAGACAACTAGAAATCAGCTTTGAGGTAAACCTACACTGCAAAAACCCAAAATATTACCAAGTATTTTTGTCTAATTTTTAGTGCAAATATCTTAGCAAACTTGAAATAAGGCAAAACTAACTTGCAAGTAACCTTTTATCAAGATAGAGGCTTGTTTTATTGATGAAAAAGTGCTAGTTCCATTGGCAGATCTTTTAACTTATAACAAGACATTTTTCCCATCTTATAAGTTAATTTGTCTGCCAATAGAACAAGGACGTTCTCATCAATATTAAACCTTCATGACCAAAGTTTCAAATCTCCACCTGGATATTTTTGCTTATTTTAGTTGCACGCAGTTCTTTAAATGTCCTGTGAGTAAATATATTTGGCCATTTCTCGATAATAACTGGAACTTTCAATATCTAGCGAGTTATTTTCGCAATTTTCCGTTTATTGAAAGAGCGCCTCAGATAAAATTCACTCCCTGCTACGGCGGGAGTAAAACCGCTGGACCGCTGGAACGCCACACGTTGCAGATAGCGCAACGTGTGGCAGAATTACGGTAATGCAAATTTGGCTGGATTGTCAGCACTACATTCAGTCTGTAAGGGTTAAGGAAGTATTTACTTAAAACAAGCCTCTATATACTGCTGAAAAGTTACTACTTTTGACTTAGTTTTGTCTTATTTCAAGTGAAATCAGACCAAAATTACTTGGTAAGCATTTGTGTTTTTGTAGTGCACAATACTCAAAATACAGTTTGCAATACCAAACCATAATTTCAAAATAATTTAAAAGAGGTAAAAGGCCTAATCAAATCATGTATTGAATTCTCTATCCGTTAGTTTTACTGTCTCTTTTGTTATTGTCTTGGCTTCACCTAACCTTATTTTCACCTTCTTGTTTGAAGGAATTACAGAGAAAATGAAGCATCTTAGATCAAGTAAGCTTTGTTCCGTCTCTCAACCTTTGCACTTTTATCTACTCTAGATTCTTATTTAATCTCGCTTCGATCCCCTCCATCTTCCTCACATATTTAGCTCTTCTCCTCTTCCCAGCCCTCAATCGGCTATAATTACATACCTTGGAGTAGTAAATATTTCAGTGAAAAGGCTTTGGCATGTCGCTGTGACAGAAATACTGCATCTCAGCTCCTGTTGGAAGGTCCGTCATTAAACTTTGAACGGTTGAGTTTCTCAGAAAATGAACCCTGTTGACTTGCGCCACTGTGAAGCTGACATTTAAGGCTCCGTAGAAAAAGACTCAAAAGCTATTGAACGGATCATCATGACATTTAGGCCGCACATTTATCACAGCATAATTTATAGTCCAGTTTGAACCTTGGACCTTTCACTTTACTTTCATGTTTTCTTTGTGAATTCTTAATGTGATTAGCAGCAGATTCATACTTCGGCTACATTTACACCTAAAATCCTTTTATTTTACTCTGTTGGGATTACTGATAAGCCGGCCCTCGCAAGTGAGAAGGACAGTACTCACTTGTCTTAGCTTTGGAGAAGCTAGTGACTAGCATTAGGTTAACCATTGAATTGCCATTTCCCTCTGCTATCCATTAGCACATATAAGCTAGCTTTGACCTTGGATAGGCTAACAACTAGCATGCCCAGGGTGGTCACTCATTGAATTGCCTATACCTCTGCTGTCCATGCTTACGCTAGCTTGAGGTTTGGATGGGCTAACAGCTAGCATACTTGGGCTAGTCACCTTCGTTTTTCTCTAAGGAAAACTTTATCAACAAAAATGGTCTGTAAGCGACATACATTAGATGCATTGACATATTTTCCTCTGGCAGAGTTTACAGTAATCCAGTGTGAAATCAAACAAACATACTCCATATACACAGCATTATATATGAAGCTGAAGGTGGTTTTTCACTGCAGTATTATACGTATCTAATGGCTCATTGCAATGAGTATGTAGAACAGTATTACCAACTGAAATACTGCTGATGGAGACATTTATAAAGGACCTGCTACTTAGAACAGAAAAAAAGGGCTGAGTACTTACAGTTAATCGATCTAAAAGTGTGGTCGGGTCATAATGAACATTAAAAACCTGTCCCTGTATGAAGGAAAATAAAAAAAATGCCACACGTGCATTTTAACTGACCATTTAGAGAACATCTAATAGATCTGACACATCTAATGGACAATTACCTCTACTGTATAAAACCACAGACCAACCACAGCGGCTTTTATTGTTCTGAAAAGTCATTGGCAATGCCGGATTTCACAACTCACTTGGCATGTGCATGCATTGTAAATAAAAAAAGCTTTATTTTCCCACTAACATATTTGTCTGACCAAGCTCTCTTTGCTGACTTTCTAATGAGAAATAAAGTGGTGATTAAACATGGAAGACGCATCAGGATCCGTAATAACAGAGAGACGAGAGAGAAAAATGTTTCACCACTTCATGGAAATGTTTTTCTTAAATGGAAACACTCACACCCTTGCGTCTTTGGCGGAAACAAGATGTTACACTCAGTGGACACCCACATACTGTAAGATCATGAACCCTGGAGCACTGGAGCAAAGGTGCAGTCATCAATCAGAACTGTGCAGTCATCAACACCACGAGGAAGAGGGAGTGTTGGGAGGCAGTGGGACTCTACAGCTTTCCCTGAAACCTAGCAGGATATTTTCCTCGACCGACAGTATTTATAGCCTGTTACTTCTCCAAAAGTCGTAAGTGTCTTTGTCTGCCCACCACATGCTGCTCTGCACAGACCTGGAGAGATCAGGTAACAGTAAGCGCTGCTTTGCGACAGGTAATGAATGTTTCAAGGTACGGCGTAAAGAGGATAATACGGA